GTCTCCTCCCAGACTGGATTCTTTCAAAGGGTTCAAAAACCCATCAAGCTAAATAAATATAACACATATGAAAGTGGGGTGCAGTTTTGAAAAAATTCCACCATTTTGATTTTTTTTTTTAGTAAGTATGGGGAAGACGAATTATCGAGATTAAGTAGCATGCAAGCTACAAGCAGATCTCTGCTTTCTGGAGGATGAGGTTACGATCAAAGACTCATGTGCTTCAGATTTCTTAAAGCAACCTCGAGAGATGCCCCCAGGCTGCAGCAACAGCTTTAGTATCATCTCCATCTACCTGTGTAGAGGAATTATCATTTCAGCAACACGAACAAGTAGAGGAGCTTCCTTTTGCTTTTTTTTTTTTTTTTTAATCACGTCCTGTTTTCAGTGAACAGATCATGATTTGACTTTAAAAAAAATAATTTTTTTATTAATTGAAAACATCCAATGACCTCATGCAGCCACTTGAGAAGTAAATGCAGAAGATTTATCCACAAGACTAATGATTTATTATTATTTATTTTCCAGAAACAGGTTTTCTGGAGTGGTGGCACTGCTGTAGATCTAATGTGTTCATATAATTAAAAAAAAACATATTTTATTTAAAATAAATGGACAATATTTCTACTAGGCAGTGATGAGTAATGTATAGTGCTGGCAGGATTAGAATGAAACCCTCTGGGGGTTTTCATGATATGTTTTGGCTTCGGGATCAGCTAAACACCCTTCTTTTGCTCTAAACTACTTTTCTACATACTTCACATACTATACAAGATTAATATCACTTAGGTTTTGCTATAATACTTTACATGTGGTACCAGGAGGCTCGTAAGTGTCATGGCGTCCCTACTCTTAACTGCTCAGTGCTGTAAAAACAGGAGCTTGGAGCAAATCCCTCGCTCTCAGGGACTCTCCTGTTAGCATCTTTATTCCCAGCACAAAAAGGATTATAAACACCAGCTTTATAAAGCTTAAAGAGACTGTAAAATACATGATTTGCAGAGGGAGGGGGCAGTGAAGACAGTTCTCTGACTGCATCTTTGAAGGGTCAAAGGTGAGGAGTGTCGAGGAATAACAGGGCAAGGGAAATAGAGGTGGTGGGGGGGGGGGGGGGGGGGTGTATTATAAGCTGGCCTGACAGAGTGTGTGTACCAGGATGTGTGTTTTCCCAGGCATATTTTTCTCTATATTAAACCGGATTAGTTGCCTGCCCTGCATCCTTTATCGAGATAATACTTGAAGCTTGCTGGGATTTTATTGAATAGATCGGTGAGAACTATGTGACTTGCTTTAATCTTATTAGTGTGTGTGTGAGGACGTGCTTGTGTGTGTGTGTGTTTCCATACGTTTGCAAGCTCCCAGAAAAGCAGCATGATAGCACAGATCAAAAGGATTCCGATAGTTGGAAGTCTTATTTAGATTGAATTTGTTGACTTGGTGCCACGCAGTGGAGGGGCCTTATTAGACCTTCTGCCTGTCATTAAAACAGCTCTGCAGCAGCCTGGGGGGGGTCTGTCCCAGGGTTTTATCAAGGACAATTCCATGTGACTTACTTCTCATAGCAATCAAACAAAAGTCTCTGCCTAAACTTTAGATCCCTAGTATTTGAAAACGCAGACGGCTGTAGCATAAAAAGATTTGATGTCTGCGTCAGACGTAGCAGAGTTTGAAGCAGATTTATCACCTGCTGGTAAGAAGTAAAGGATAACATTATTTATGCCCACACCTGTTTGTGTCGGTCTTTTAGCAAAATATGTCATGGATCACTGAATGAAATGAATTGAAACTTTCAGGATGAAATCACTGGATTAAATAACTTTGGGATTAGAGCTGGTCGTCTCAGCTAACAGACAATAGGAACAACACAGAAACTTTTTTCTTCTTCTTCTTTATGTTTATTGAGCTAAAGTTTAAAGTGGTAGTAGCTGAGGGTCATTCACAACATATTCTCTGAACATCTTGTGATGATGCAAATGATTGCATTGTTAAATTCAAAATATTTATTAATACATCTTTGGTTAAAACTCCAGCATTACCATAGCATATTTTTCAGATTATAAGGCACACTTAAAATCCTTTAATTTTCTCACAAAATGACAGTGAGCTTTATAATCTGGTGCGCTTTATGTACTTTTTATTAAATCTGGTTGTGCTTACTGACCTCGAAGCGATTTTATGTGGTACAACCGAACAATGTTGAGAGTTACAGTGAATGAGTTGAATTAAAGTTTGATTTATCTGACTGCTTTGTTTGGATTAATGTGCTTTATAATCCAGTGGCGCCTTATAGTCCAAAAAATATAGTAATCATTTCTCTTACCAGGTTATTCCCAGAGTTAATTAAATGTAAATGTTTATACAATTGTATCGGCATGGAAGAAGGAAAAATGCCCGAGATTGTTTTTTGTTTTATTTTATATGTTTATTGTGTGAGCAGATTTGTCCTGTCATCTAATTGGCTTCAAGCATGAAGTCAGTGTGACTGAATTAGGTCATATATCGAGGTAATCGACATGCTCTCAGCTCTTTGAGCTTCTGCAGGCTTCAGATGTGCACAACTCTATCAGACTAGTTGTTCATGCTCATGCTGTTCAAACTTTGATAAACTGGACAAGCTGAGGCAGCCTTTAGGTTTTCAAAAAACTAGAGAGAACTAAAAGAAAATTAAGAAACGTTCATAAGAAAAATGATGGAATATTTTCTAAATAGTTCATACTAAACACCATGAAGATCCCTGTCAAAGTGTCAACAATATGTCACCTAAAAAATAAATCAATAAATCTGTTTTTAATTCATCAACTGTTTGTTTTTGGTTTGTTTTCTCGTATATTTGTGTTTCTTTTGAGTTACAACTCCAAGTAAAATAATAAAGAGGATTTTTATTTTTTTTCGGTTTCTCGTTTTTGAGATTAAAGTCATAATATTAAAGTTTTTAAAAAAGGATTAGAGGTAAAAGTGTTATATCAATAACAAAAGAAGGTCTGAAGAAGTGAACCTGAAACCAGAGATTTGTTGTTTCTCCCTCTCATGTTTTTTTTTTTTTTACTGGATAAATTACAAAAGAACAACAAAACCCTTGTTCCTGAACGTGTCCTAGGTGTGGTTCTTCACTGTCAAAACTAGAACAAAAACACTTTTTAATCCTTCAAAAAAAGAGTCTCAAACAAACGGGTGCACTCAGAATAATGACAAATCATATGGCACCTATATTATTAATATTATTATTAATGTTAATAGTTTTGTTGTTGTTCAATGGTTGAACTTCGACTGCAGCCTAAAGTCATGAAAGATTTGAAGCATTATTTAAAGTCATACATTGTTGTTATTTTTTTTATTTTTTTATTAGATACAGCCATTGATTTTATTGTTAAGCACTTTAGTAACAGCTGCTGTTTTTAAATGTGCTTTATAAATAAATTTGACTTGACGACTTGACAACCATCAAGTTTTCATTAAAAGCTTTACACTGAAACAGGCCTGTTTTAATCTTTCATATTCATTTTATTAATGAAATCTAAGAGATGGACAGTTTTTTTAAAGTTGGGAGTTTACAGCAGATTGTGGAGGCTGGTTGGAGGGGGTGATGGGTTTGGTTTCATTAATTCTCCAGATGGAGCACGTGTGTGTCGGTCGGAGTTTACCTGCTGCAGGTGTCGGGCTCATATTAGAAAAAAAAAAAAAACGATGTTTGGATGTGTCCCATATGAAACCTGTAGTTTTCCCCTTTAGTTGAGTATCATGAGTATTATGAGCAGAGTATTATGACGTGTCTATGTGTCTGATTGGATCTTAATCCCAGAGGATCCAGTAATTTAGATGCATTTCTTTTGACAGTTTTGTGTCTGTCAGTGGTGGGCAGTTCAAATGTTGCTCTGAAGGTGTGAAAACTGAGATGATCAAAGTGGAGCAGCATTGAGTCAAACAAGTCACTAATTACACATTAGTGATGTTTTTTGCACTAATGCATGTTGGTTTTTGATTCTTCTTTATCCTCCTGAGACCCAAGCTTTTGTTTGGTGTGCATTTCCTCTTTCTCCAAGGTACATGAGATTAATAGGACCTAATAAGTCAAATATCTAGACTCTGTCATGGTACAGGAAGCAGTTTTAGAAAAAAAGATGATGTCCTCATATGAGGACAGTAGGTTTATTTTTGCATTTTATATGTTTATTTGCAAATTGGGGTCAGAAGGTCCCAATTACTCTAAAAATAAACAAACAAACAAACAAAAAATTCTGCTTTCTATGATAAATTCTCAAAAAAAAAAAAAAAAAATCAATGTCCTCCTGAGACCTCACACTGGTTCTCAGGAGGTCAATCCCAAACTTTACTCTTGTCATTTTGGCTTCATTCTCAACATTTTTTAATTTTATTTTAAGTGAGCCTAATATGCCATTGACACTTGACATATTTCATTTGTTTTATTTCTCAAACTGTTGCCACATTTTTTTACACACTTTTAGCTGTTTTTATCTAATCACAGTGTTGAGCAGCCGACCTAACATGCTGCACGTGACAAATATTAAATCTATGTGATGCCCCAAACATAAAGAAGTCTGTTAGTTTAGCATACAAGCCAGCTAGCCAGTGGTTAAACGTGTTCAAACATGACCACATTTAGGCAAATTAAAAGACAATACATGCAAACATGTCATAACAGCTGGCTGGAGGGTTCAGTTATTTATCTGCTGGTGGGATGCAACATAGCAAAGTAAGAAAAAAGTAAATGAACAGGCAAATCCAAGCAGAAACTTTATGTTACAATATTAATACCAAAGAATGGAGGGAGACATGAAAACTGTAGACATCAAGCTGAAAAGGACAAAACACATTTAGCTCAAAAAGAGTTTACGAGTAAAGAGCAAAAAGAAAATGTCCATTCTTTCAAAAAAAGGACAAGAAATGTAAGAAAATCAAAGAAGATAAAAATTGGAGGAGAAAGGGGAGTTCTGGTTTCCCTTGTCATGCAAATCAGATTGACATTGGGGGTAAAAAAATACCTTCATCGTCCGTGCGGTCACTATCACTTAAATCATCAGTGTGTTTCTTTGTAAGGGGACCTAAAGGACCAAGAAGGAGAAAATGGAGGAAAACAAGATGATCAAGAACACACACAGCTTTCAAAAGATGCTCTCAAAAGACAAGAAGGTTATTCTAATTCTTATTGCACTCCTTTAAAGAAAAATACTCCCTCCGACAGAAACCTTCTTACATGGTTTAAGAATCGTTTCAGTTACAGGGCAAGACAAGAGGGAGCTTACCAAAAAAAAAAAAAAAAAAAAAAAAGAGGTAAAAAAAAGAAAAAGAAAAAAGATTTCTGGTAAAAATGAAAAAATAACAAGATAGAGCCACAGGATCAGAAGACATCAAGCTCTTTAGAACAGTGCAGAAAGCAGCAGGAATTGTACATTTCAACGGGTCGTGTTAACAATTAAAAATGGGTCTGTGGCGCTGAAGGAAAGAAACAACAATCTGTAAAAGAAGCAGGTTTTTAAGAGCAGAGCATTGAATAGAAGCACGTGACCATCTCCACCTGTTTGCAGCTCACTTTCTGTGAAGTCTGCTGCAGAAAACCCAACTGCAGGGTCACAGTGTCTGAATTTGTCCTCATGACAGAAAGAAAAACAGATGAGAACACAAATTAACAGCTATTTGAAAGGATGGTCTGCATCACATGACTCTTAATCTGTTTACACCTGTCTTGTTTGCAGTTCCAGTCTTCTGAGACATGAACGATCTGAGAGCTCAAAATGATCTGGGGTTACTGTTCACATGCAGGATTAGAGAATATACATTTATCTGTCAATAAATCCTGCTTTAACCATGCATGGGGATGCATGTAGGAAAATGTTATTAATGTAATCATTTCTAAATATAGTTATAAAATATGAGTATAAATATGTAAAAACTGGCTTAATTTGAGCTGGATCATGCAGGAACAGGATCCAGGAACTCTTATTTTGACAGGGTGCATTGCAGTAATGGTTTGCATGAATCCGACTTACCAATAATAAAATTATGAACAAATATGACTGCCTTGAACAAATGAAACCTATACTGGACATGCAATCTGAAAATAATTACATAAACACTAATTTTAAACAGAACAGCCACTTATAAGCTTCCTAATATCACATCAGAGCTGCCCCTTCAATTAAACAGTTTCGCTTCTACCCTTAAAAAAAATCTTTGCCCTTAAATTACAGTCACAGGGAATTTAGTTAAAAAACAAAAATATAATTAAACAGCACAGTTAATTTGCAAATCATTTTTAGTGGGTCATTAATAAAATGTTGATTATTAAAAATACAACATAAATGTTTGATGGGTAACACCTACATCACGTATCAAAACAACAGCGCCAATTTGTCAAAATAACAGCAATCAAAATGTTGAAGACAGTCCAATTTACTTTTTTATATATATATATATATATATATATATATATATATATATATATATATATATTCTTATTGTACAACTAAACAACTGAAAACTGAAGTGCACGAAGGCAGTGGCAATGGAGATAGTACTCGACGTGGGGTGTGGGGGTGGTGGGGATGCTTGAGAGAAACATAGATGTTTAACAACCCGTTAAAATATACCAGAAGGCAGGAAATGGCTGTACTTTATTCATAATTTTCTGGGGGGGGGGGAAACCCCCCCCCCCCCCCCCTGTTATTTGTGTGTTGCATATTTGCTGTTCTGTTTAGGCATGTAAAAATAATGTTTCAGTTTGGGGCGTAATATAAGGTAGAGGCTTTTAATCTATTTTCTGATGCATCAAGAAGCAGATATTTGCAAATATGAATGGATTTAAAACAATCAGAAATGGCTTATTATTTTAAATGACTAAGGTCCTGTAAGGTACCGCAAAGATGATGGATCTTCAAAGTGTAATCTCATCAAAAAACTTGATCGAGAAAAACAAACAGGAACTTCTGCATTGAAAGCCAATGTTTAAAAGCACTTCAGTTACTTTAAATGTAAAAGCAAAAAAAAAAAAAAAAAAAAAACAGTTGGCAATCAACACATCATGTTTCCCTCCAGAGGAAGGAGAAGACAACCTGCTGGTGGTAGCTGCCACTGCTAACAGTAATGTCTGGGTTGCAGGTGTTGGAGATCAGTTAATTAATGCCATTCACAATTTCCTCATGTCCCTGTGGCTAGCAGTCCTACTACTCCAGTTTTGATTGTTGTTCAAAGGTTTTGTGCAACAATGTTGTGTCTCAAAACACTTAGAGTAGTTCCACGTGTCTCAACCAAGTTCAGATCTACTCACACGGCTGGTGATAAATGATGATAAATGCAGGGGTTTTTTGTCCCGTCTCTGTCTGTTTCCTCATGTTTCCTGTTCAGCTCTGTTTTTCCTCCTTGTTTTCAGCCCCTGTCTCACCTGTGTCTCATGTTAATCACTGCAGGCTCTGTCATTGTCCCAATCAGTGTCTGTGTATATATTTGGTTCCTCTGCGTCTAGTCTTTGTCTCCAGATTGTCCTTCAATGGTGTCTTGGTTTGCCTCCCATCATGTCTGCTCTGATCTGTTCTCAGTACCAGTAAGTGGCTGCCTGTCAGCCTTTTTATTTTGTTTTTTGAGAATAAATATTTTGATATTTTTACCTCAAGCCTCCTTGTCATCTTCCTGCACTTGGGTTCAACACTCCTGATGGCAGATCCTGACAGAATCCGGAGACCCTTACTGAACCCAGCAGGAAGATGATAACTTTGTTCGAGTTTTTGGCCCGTGAGGTGGATAAAACCGTCCAACGAGACAAAGAAAAGGAGGAGAGAAAGAAGAATCCATTTCTCGGGACCCGCCTGGCCATTAAACCCGGGTCCTCAGCCTCTCTGTCTCACTCCTCCTCATCTGCTCGTCACACTGCTGCACCTCGCTGCTGCACCCCGCTGCCCACCTCCTCCTCTATCTCCTCCTGGCTGTCCCGCATGATCGTCTGAGAGAGGGGGGCGAACTGCTGGTCCTCCCCAAATCCAGCGCATGGAGAAGAGAGCTTGGCAGGCAAGGGGGAAGCCCAGCCCTTGGTCGCCGATTGAACGGTGGAAGATTTCGCTGGGGGGTGAGGTACCCGTGTCTACGAGAGGAGCGGTCCAGCTCTCGCTCGCTGGAGGAGCAAGGGGTAAGTTCGCTGGGGTGAGAGGAACCCATGTCCACACTTGCTGGAGGAGCACTCCAGCCCTCCCTCAATGGAGGAGCTGGAACGGTGGCAGGCTTCTCTGGTGGCGATGTATCTTGGTCCGCCCAGCTGCGAGGAGGTCCAGGCGGACACCCCATCTCCTGCTGCAGCTCCTTCTCCTGCAGCTGCAGATCCGGACATTGTCCCTGCAGCTCTGGCCCCATCTCCACTGGCTGCAGCCCTAGCCCCATCTCCACCGGCTGCAGCTCTGGTCCCTGGTTCTCCAGCTGCAGCCCTGTCTCCGGTCCCTTGTTCCCCAGCTGCAGCCCCGATCCCTGTTTCTCCAGCTGCAGCCCAGTCTCCGGTCCCTGGTTCCCCAACTGCAGCCCCGATCCCTGGTTCTCCAGCTGAAGCCCCATCTCCGGTCCATGGTTCTCCAGCTGAAGCCCCGTTTCCGGTCCCTGGTTCCCCAG